CCCAAGCCCCGTCCTCGGCTCGCCCCGCACCCTGCTTTCTGCGGCCGTCGCCTGAGCGAGCTCAAGGGGCCGGGGGCCTCGCTCGTCCTTTCGTCTTAAAGCCTCGCAAAGGCCAGTTTCCTCCGCACACCCGGCCATGTCGCTTCAGCCCCCGGCTCGGTGAACACAGGAGTCTCCCCGGCCCGGGCGGCCCCGCGCAGAGGCACCTCCGTGATAACGCGGCGCCCTCACTGTCGGGTGGGCAGGTTACAGTCCACATGGACCCCCAGAGGCCACATCGCGCTGGCCCCGCCACCGCGACCCTGGCGGGGGCCGCTGCTTCTACGCTGTTTCCCAGACCGGACCGGGAGGCCCAGATGGGAACTGAAGGCTCCCGGGCTCTTCCCGGCTCACCTCACAGCGAGTGCGGAGGTCAGCGAACCTCCTTTTCCTCTGGCGACTTCTCAGAGCACCTGCTTGCGCCTCTGGAGTCAGCACTTGTCAGGGCCACCCACCCACCCCACCCACATCGGCCTCTCCTGTGCAGGGGACGGAAAATGGAAGGGGAACCAGGAGCGCCTGATGTCCCTTCCCCTGGCAGTACAGGACATTGCCCTCCAGGTTCCTCTCTGCCTCAGCCCTCCTCTCATTATTCAATAACGTCATCATCACTAAGGGCTAATTTCCAAGGCCTTCCTTGAAGCCTAGGGATCCCCCAAATACCGATTGTCGGCTCTGGCTATTGGAAGGAGATGCGAGGAGCCATTTCTGGGACATTCACGTGTCTCCGTGTTCGACACGAGTGGCTCAGAGGCTCCCTCTTCTCCCGGACGTCACGTGCTTTGCCACGCAACAGAGAGGGGATGCAAGGACGCTTAGGGGGACCCGCGCTGCAGCACCTCGGTAAAGGAAAAGTGGAGACCACGCCTAAAACCCTGCCCGCTCACCTCGGTTACACGGACTCGTCCTCGATGTGCCTCTCAGAGCCCGTGGCCATTACCATCCTCATCTCCTGTGCCCCAGTGGAGAGAGTCCCACATTTTGTGCTGGGCTCTGAATTCTCAGATCCCAATAAGCCCCTGAGCCCTTTCTTCACGAATCCAGGCCAGGTCCCTCCAAGGTCAGTACTCACCTGTCAACCACAATGGCTGGGTCTAAAAGCGGGGAGAGCCAAGTGTCAGGGAAAGTCAAGTTCTCGGCAGAGCTAGTTCCCAGTCAGTAACTCTGTAAATAGTTGTAAGTAGTGAACTGCAGCAAACTTTAAACATCCTACTGACAAACTTACCTTAACTCCCTATTTCTAGCCAACTGAGTTCTTCACACTCCTTGGTCAACACCCGAGGGCCAAAGCGAAGAACCTAAATTGCCACTTTTATCATGCTATCATAAAGCACCTCACCCCATCTCCATTACGATGTCCTACAAGGCCACATATCGAACCTAGACTGTCATCCCGGCCAGGTAGAAACACGGGGAGCACTAAGGAGGTGTCACTGTCCCTTGCAGCCCTGGTGGTATCAGAGGAAATCTAGCCTTGACGCTCACCCTCACCAAGCAGTAATGAGGAGCCTCTCACTACCCGAGTGTCAACAGTGGCCCAGTGGGGAACTTGGGCTTCTACCTCGATTGCACAGTAATGAGATAGTTCACGCCTTCCATCACCGGCATGCTGGCCAAGGACGCCTGCTAAAGCAGAAAATGTAAATAAGAGCCACAGTTCCATTACATACTACTCAAAATGTCCAGGTTTCAATAAAAAAAAAACACATTCGCACACCAGGATGTCATACCAGAACCAGGAAAATATTGACTTGAATAAAAAACAGTAACAATGCCAATAAGAAGATACCACAGATGTTAGCAGTATCTGACACGGAACTTAAAGCAGCCTTCATAAAAATGCTTCTGGGAGTACTTATGAACATGCTTGAAATAATTGAAAAATCAGAACATCTCAGAAAATAAATAGAAGATATGGACGGAAACCAAATGGAAGTTTTAGAACTGAAAAATAGAATAACAAATTAAAAAAAAAAGCCTCAGTGGATAGGCTCCACAGCAGAATGAAGAAGGCAGGGGAAAAAGGAAGATCAATATAAGTTATCTAGACTAAAGGAGAGAAAGAAGATAGACTGAAAAAAATAATGAACAGAGCCTCAGGGAACTAATATTGGTGTCACCAGAGTCAACAATGAAGAGGATAGAAAAGCGGAGCTGAATAAGTATTCAAAGATACAATGGCTGAAAACTCCCCAAACTTGACAAAGGACATAACCCTATACATTCAAGAAACTGAGCAAACCCAAAGGATGAATGAACTCAAAGAAATCTGTGCTGAGACATATCATATCACATGTGAAAACGAAACATAAAACCCATGCAA